ACTACCCAAAGAAATTTACAGATTCAAACCAGTCCCTATCAAACTTCCAATGGCTTTTGCACAGAAATGGCAAAGACTATCCTCAAATTCATATTTGAGGAATTGCAAGGGGTCCCCAATAGGCAGAATATCGGGAAAGAAAAATAAAGTCAGAGGACTCACACTTCACAATTTCAAAACTTACTATAAAGCTACAGTTATCAAAACAGTGAGGTACTGGCATAAGGACAGACATACAGTCTAATGGGAAATAACTATATCCAGAAATAAACCCATGTATTTATGACCACATTATTTTCTTCTTTATTTTTTTTTTTCTGAGATAGGGTCTTACTTGCTGGAGTGTAATGGTACAGTAATGGCTTACTGCAGCCTGGACCTCCCCAGGCTCAGATGATCCCCTGTCTTAGCCTCCCAAGTATCTGGGACTAAAAGTGCACACCACCCACCCAGCTAATTAGCCTCCCAAGTATCTGGGACTAAAAGTGCACACCACCCACCCAGCTAATTTTTGTAGTTTGTAGAAACAGGGTTTTGCCATGTTGCCCAGGATGGTCTCGAATTCCTAGGCGCAAGAGATTTGCCCACATTGGCCACCTATAGTGATGACTACAGGCATGAGCTATCATGTCCAGCACCAACTGATTTTTCAACAACGATGCCAAGATCATTCAGTGGGAAAAGAATAGTCTCTTCACCCAATAATACTGAGAAAACTGAATGCCTACATGCATGAATTAAATAGGACCTCTACCTCACATCATATGCAAAAATCAATTCAAAATGCATCAGTGACCTAAATACATGAGTTAAATATGTAGAACTCTTAGAAGAAGACAGTCTGTCTTGAATTTGGCAATGGATTCTTCCATATGACATCAAAAGCATGAACAAAAGAAAAATAAATTGTACTTCATCATAATTTGAAATGTGCATTATAGAACACTGTCACAACAGAAAAGACAACCCACGGTGTGGAAAATATTTGCAAATCATCTATTTCATGAAGGTATATTATCCAAAATATATAAAACACTCTTGTTTTTTTTTTGAGAGAGAGTCTCACACTACTGCCCAGGCTGGAGTGCAATGGTGCAATCTCAGCTCACTGCAACCTCCGCCTCCCCAGTTTAAGCTATTATCCTGCCTCAGCCTCTCCAGTAGCTGGGATTACAGGCACCCGCCTCCACTCCTGGCTAATTTTTTGTATTTTTAGTAGAGATGGGGTTTCACTATGTTGGCCAGCCTGGTCTCAAACTCCTGACCTCATGATCTGCCCACCTTGGCCTCCCAAAGTGCTGAGATTACAGGCATGAGCCACCGTGCCTGGCCTTTCTTCTTTTCTTTTTTTTTCTTTAAAGACAGAGTCTTGCTCTGTCACCCAGGCTGGAGCACAACTGCACAATCTCGGCTCCCTGAAACTTCTACCTCCCGGGTTCAGGTGATTTTCCTCAGCCTTCCGAGGAGCTGGGACTATAGGCGCATACTACCACACCCAGCTAATTTTTTTTATTTTGAGTAGAAATGGGGTTTCGCCATGTCCTTGAGTGATCCGCCCACCTTGGCCTCCCAAAATGCTGGGATTACAGGTGTGAGCCACTGTGCCCAGCCATAAAACATTCTCATAATTTCACAACAAAAAGATCAACATTTCCCCAAATAATACTGACCCCTGAACAAAATAGGCATGGATGCAGATTATATTCAACCAAACATGAAGATTGAAAATATAGTATTTGCATTTTTAGTAGAGACGGGGTTCCACCATGTTGGCTCGGCTGATCTCGAACTCTTGACATCAGGTGATCCACCTGCCTTGGCCTCTCAAAGTGCCGGGATTAAGGTATGAGCCACCCCACCCAGTTTAAAAACATAGTATTTGCAAGATAGGAAACTGACACATATGGAGGACCAATTTTTTACATACATGGGTTCTGAAGAGTTGACCGCAAGACTTGAGTATGTTTGGATTTTAGTATATGCAGGGGTCCTGTAACCAATCACCTGCATATACCAAATGATGACAGTATATACAAATGGCTAAAAAGCACACTAGAAAAAAAAATAGAAAAAGAAAAAGCCCACTAGAAGATGTTCAACATAATTCATCTCTAAAGAAATGTAAGGTAAAACTGCAATAATACCACTTCACCCCCCCACCCCAATTATAATGGGCATAATTTTTAAAATGGAGAACAGGTGTTGTGGGGGGATATGGAGAAACTGAAACCCTTGTACATTGCTGATGGGAATGTAAAATGATGCAGCTGGTGTGGAAGTTCGGGAGTTCCTCAAAAAGTTAAACAGAATTGCCATATAACCCAGCAATTCCACTTTTTGGTATATAGCGAAAAGAATTGAAAATAGGTATCAAATACTTATAAACCACTCAAATGTCTGTCAATGGATGAATGACAAATTGTGGTGTATATACACAATGGCATTTGAGTCCTAAAAAGGAATGATGTAGTGCTAAATCCTCCAAGGTGGATGAACCTGGAAAACATGCTAAGTGAAAGAAAGCAGACACAAAAAGTTACATAATGTATGATCTCACTTACATGAAATATCTAGAATAGATAGATCCATAGAGACAGAAAGCATATTAGTGGCTGCCAGGGTATAAGGGGGAGAGAGAACAGGGAATGACTGCTTAATGAGTATGGAGTTTTCTTTTAGGATGGTGAAAATGTTTTGAAACTAGGGAGAGGTGGTACTATACAACACTGTGAATGTACTAAGTATTACTACCTCTCAGTTGTATACTTTTAAATGATGAATAAATAGTATGTAAATTTCACTTCAATTAAAACAAGTAAACAAAATCTTTGAACAAAAAACTGCAGGCCTAAATGGTTTCACTGAATTCAATCCAACAATGAGGCAAAAACAATACCAATTATATGCAATTTCTTTCATAGAAGCAAGAAAAAAAACCACCATTCTCAACTCATTTTATGAGTCTCACATAAAAGAGAGACCCAAATCTAACAAAAGGGATTGTTAGATCTAACAATCTGAGACCAGAATCTAACAAAAACATTACCAGAAATGACAACTATAGTGGTTGCTGGCACCAGTTTGTATCAGCTCAGATTATTAAATTTTTAGGATGTACTTGAAATTTGCCATGGTGGGAGTACTTATACTACAGAAATTGATAAACAGTATAAACCAGCGTTCCCAACTCCTAAAATATGATTACTAAACATTTACTACTATACTGATCACTGATCAACATCCCTCATGGTGACAGATGCTAAAATCCTCAACAAAATGTTGGCAAACCTAATTCAGCAATATTATAAAACTATACACAGGCTGGGCACAGTGGCTCATGCCTGTAATCCCAGCACTTTGAGAGGCCGAGGCAGACGGATCAGAGTCAGGAAATCGAGACCGTGGTGAAACCCTGTCTCTATTAAAATACAAGAAATTAGCCAGTGTAGTGGTGCAAGCCTATAGTCCCAGCTACTTTGGCGGCTGAGGCAGGAGAATCACTTGAACCCTGGAGGCAGAGGTTGCAGGAGCCAAGATCACACCACTGCACTCCAGTCTGGCAAGAGAACGAGACCCAACTCAAAAAAATATACATATATATATACATTATGACCTATTTATCCTGGCAGTGCAAGGTTGATTCCACATTTGAACATCTATCAATGTATTTCACTATGCTAACAAACTAAAAAAGAAAAACAACACAGTTATCTCAAAAAAAAGCAGAAAAGCATTTCACAGAATTCAAGATCCATTCATAATAAAAACTCTGAACAAACTAGAAAAAAAGGGAACTTCCTTCATCTGACAAAAGGTATTTATGTAAAATCTGTAGCTTATACCATACTTATTATTGAATGGTTAAATTCTTTCCCCACAAGGTCAGGTTTCATTATGTACATTCCTTTGATATATAAAGGATGATTTTTAAATGAACAAAAAAATCAAAATTTAAAGTTTTTTACAGCCAACAAGGGCCATACATATTCTAGCTTCCTCTGCCTCTCTGATATTAACTTCTTACTATTCTTTCCCTAAGTCACATCTCTTTAGCGTCAATATCCTACATACTGTTTCTCGAACATGCTTTGGGGTGTTAGGATTACTGTTTTTCCTGCTGCTCCCTCAGACTTCTACTTGGCTCGCTCTCTCATTTAATTCAGGACTTTCCTCAAATATCATCTTTCATGGTAGCATTGTCCTAACCAACCTATAACTGGTTCCTCACTTCTCTGTATCACTGTCCTCCTAAATTGCTTGAGATTATCACTGAACATATACCTCATAAATATTAATCCAATGATGACATATTGTTATAAAATATATTTTGAAAATCACATTTTTGGCTAGGACTGGTAGCTCATGCCTGTAATCCCAGCATTTTGGGAGGCTGAGGCAGGCAGATCATTTGAGGTGAGGAGACCAGCCTGGTCAATATGGTGAAACTCCTTCTCTACTAAAAGTACAAAACTTAGCTGGGCATGGTGGCAGGTGCCTGTAATTCCAGCTACTTGGGAAGCTGAGGCAGGAGAATCACTTGAACCTGGGAGACAGAGGCTACAGTGAGCTGAGATTGTGCCACTGCACTCCAGCCTGGGCAACAGAGCAAGACTCTTATCTCAAAAAAAAAAAATAATAAATCACATTTGTTAGCATCAATGTAATTGTCTACTTTATGCCAAACAGGCAGCAATCTATTTAGCACTGCTTTCATGCCATCAGTGCAAGTATCAACAGTGTAAAAGGCAATCTGCATTTTAGCACTCTGAGTCTGGACCTCATAGACTCCTCGGGAGGGTCTTGGAGCCCCCACGGATCTGCAGACTACATTTTGAAAATTGTTTTATTCAAATGACATTTTGCCTGAAGGTGATTTTTAAACTATGTTTATGTTTCTAATTTAGTATATAGGCTCTCATTCATAAAACTCATTTTACACACACACACACACACACACACACACACAGTGAAACAAAGTAAGGGCTAAATAAGTGACTCACCTGGAACTTGTTCATTTTCTGCTGCTTTTGGGAAAGGGTGAAAACTACAAAGCCAGAGCAGGGAAAGTTGAAAGAAAGAAGTCATAAGGAATCTTATCTGGCAGTCCTAGGAATCACCTGTGAGAAATATCCATAAAACATTTTAGTAAAATATATATATCTGAGAAAATGTCCCTTTGACCCAATAGAAAGAATAGTAAGGACCATGATAAAGTAGCACCCACCTGTCCACTGGTGACTCTGATACAAATCTTGATGAACCTGGGACATTTTTGAGTGAATCCAAACATCTCTTTCCTATTAGCTGTTTTGAAAATTATGTTTTTGTTTGCTGAATAACACAAAAGAATTGAACACTTAAGTATCCAATAATGACAGATTAGTTAAATAACATGTATAATATATCCAAAGTATGGAGTCCTTTGCTGACACTAGAAATGATGTTAGAGAGATATATTTATTGACACACAAAAGGTACTTAAGTTACATATCATAACCATTTTTTTCTATTATAAACCCAAGGTTCAAAAGTCTTTTCAAAGTTTTCAAAAACAAGACATTTTTTTGTCCCTAAGTTGCAGTCTCTCAAAAACCACTTCTCCAAGAACCTTCTTTTGATTTAAATATGATATAGTGAACTTAAAGACTCAGTTCTACCCTAGGCTCTGCTATAAACAAACTTAGTGACTGTCTTAGTTTCAATGCTTTTGTCTTTAAAATAAGTAGGAAATAGATAATTTGAATAACACTTCATGTACCATTCTGATTCTGTAAAGGATCACAAATACAGACAGTAACTGCAATGCACTGTCCCCTTGAAACCTGGGCTGGGCCTAAAATTTAATTAGGGCCTGATGAACTCTGATTGACAATCTAATCTGCTGACAGTGACACAAATCTAGCTTCTAAAATAACAGGCATCATAATTTTCAAGTGCTTCATATATGTAGCAAAAGGCAACTACATGTCATAATCCTTAGGTCCTTTTCATAAGCAGCAGAAACCATACAGGGCATCCAAATTGGAAAGGAAAAAGTCAAATTATCTTTGTTCACAGTTGACATGACCCTATATTTAGAAAAACATAAAGACTCCACCAAAAACCTGGTAGAACTGATAAATGAATTCAGTAAAGTTTCAGGTTACAAAATCAACATTAAAAAATCAGTAGCATTTCCATATACCAACAGTGAACAATCTGAAAAAGAAACCAAGAAAGCAATCCCATTTACAATAGCTACCAAAAATACTCCAACACCTAGGAATAAATTTAACCAAAAAAGTGAAAGAGCCTACAATTAAAAGTATAAAACAGACTGGGCATCATGGCTCACACCTGTAATCCCAACACTTTGGGAGGTGGAGGTGGGTAGATGACCTGAGGTCAAGAGTTCAAAATCAGACTAGCCAACATGGCAAAACCCTGTTTCCACTAAAAATACAAAAACAAACAAAAAATTAGCCAGGTGTGGTGATGCACTCCTGTAATCCCAGCTACTTGGGAGGCTGAGGCAGGAGAATCGCTGGAACCCAGTGGGCAGAGGTTGTAGTGAGCCAAGATCATGCCAAACTGAGACCCTGTCTCAAAATAATAATAATAATAAAACACGGATGAATATTAAAATATAAAGATATCCCATGCTCATGCAGTGGCAGAACTAATATTGTTAAAATGTCCATAGTACTAAAAGCAATCTATAGATTCAATGCAATCCATATCCAAATAGCAATGACATTCTTCACAGAAATAGGAAAAAAAAACCCTAAAATTTATATGAAACCACCAAAGCCCCTGAATAACCAAAGCAATTTTGTGCAAAAAGAACAAAGCTGGAGGCATTGCACTACCAGACTTAAAAAATATACTATAAAGCTACAGTAAACAAAACAGTATAGTACTGACATAAAAACAGTCACACAGACCAATGGAACAGAGAATTGAAAAATAAATACATGCATTTATAGCCAATTTTATTTTTGACAGAGGCACCAAGAGCACACATTGGAGAAATGACAGTTTCTTTGATAAATGGTGCTGAGAAAACTGGATATCCATGTGCAGAAGAATGAAACTAGAACCCGTCTCTCATCATGTAAAAATCAAATAATAAAGACTTAAATGTATGACCTAAAACTATGAAACTACTGGAAGAAAACATTTGGAAATGCTTCAGAACATTGGTCTGAAAGCAATCCCATTTACAATAGCTACCAAAAATACTCCAACACCTAGGAATAAATTTAACCAAAAGAGTGAAAGAGCCTACAATTAAAAGTATAAAGCAGACTGGGCATCATGCATTTTTGGTAAGACCTCAAAAGCACAAGCAACAAAGGCAAAAATAGACAAATGGGGTTACATCAAACTAAAAAGCTTCAGCACAGCAAAGTAAACAATCAGGAAAAGACACCTAAAGAATAGGAGAAAATATTTGCAAACTACCCATCTGAAAAGATATTAATAACCAAAATATATAAGGAACTCAACAGTCAACAAAAAGTTGATTTTAAAAAATGAGCAAATGATCTGAACAGACATTTCACAATAGAAGACATACAAATGGCCAATAGTTATATAATAAAATGCTCAACATCACTAATCATCAGACAGTGCAAATCAAAAACTTCATGGGATATCATTTTACCCATTAAAATGGGTATTATAAAAAAGACAAAAAAATAGCAAATGCTGGGATATGGAGAAAGGGGAACACTCAGGTACTCTTGGTGGCAATGTAAATTAGTACAGCCACTATGGAAAACAGTATGGAGGTTCCTTAAAAAACTAAAAATAGAACTACCATAAGATCTAGCAATCTCACTGCTATCTATATATCCAAAAGAAAGGAAATCAGTATATTGAAGAGATCTCTACACTCCCATTTTACTGCAGTGCTATTCACAATAGTCAAGACACACAATCAAAGTACTCATCAATACATGAATAGATAATGAAAATTGTGGTATTTCTACACAGTGGAATATTATTCAGCCATAGAAAGAATGAAATTTTGTCATTGCAGCAATAAAGATCAAACTGGAGGACATTATGTTACATGAAATAAACCAGGCACAGAAAGACAATGTTCTCATATGTGAGAGCTAATAGTTGATCTCATGAAGGTAGGAAGTAGAATGATGGTTATCAGAGGCTGTGAAGGGAAGCAGGGGGTGAGGAATGAAGAAAGGCTGATTAATGGGTTCAAAAATACAGTTAAATAGAAGGAATAAGTCCTAGTGTTCAACAGCACAGTATGGTGACAGTTGTTAACAATAACAATAAATCGTTTATTGTGTATTTCAGAATAGCTAGAGGATTTGGAATATTCATAACACAAAGAAATGATAAATGAGATGGTGGATACTGTAATTACCCTGACTTGATCATCACACATTGTACACATATATCAATATTTCACATGTACCCTATATGTACATTAGGTATCCCCCCACCCAAAAAAAAACTAGGGAAAAAAACCACTTCCAGCTAGCATGGTGCTTACAAAATGAACACTATCAGCCATGAGAGGCATTATGATATCACCATCATAATATGGGGGCACTGATGAACTACAGTTTTCAGCTGTAAAAGAAAATTCTTTTTCCCATTTCTTCTCCTTGGAAACTAGCCTCTGGCCTGGATGGGATTCCCAGCTTCTCCTGTAAAATGCAAAACTGAGGACTCAAATGGTGGTTTCAATTTACACATTTAACAGTCCTCTGAGAAGTGACTAAGGTTGGAGGATGCAGGAAGGCCTTAAATGATTAACCTTTTGACTCAAGGGCTCTGAAGACTCCCCAAGTATTTTTGGAAACAAAACACTACGTGCTAAGGCTGGGTTCAGTATACCCCACAACTGTGTTCTGGTGGTGCTCAAGGGACAAATGCTGTGCTAAATACAACCCAAGACTGGATTTTAGTGTGGGAAGGTGCATGAACTCAGAGGAAAAAGTGAGGATTTAGATCCCACCTGCTAATACTGGGTAAACAAATTTATCTCTCTGAATCTTTAGTAGTCACATTTCTTTAAATGGAAGTGATTAAGTCGAAAGGATAGTTAATGATGATTAAATGAGCCAATAATGAAAACTGTGTCTTGTAATAATAAAAGCAGCTCACCTTTATTGAGTCCTGTATCATACTTTACATCTACTACCCTATTCCGTACCCAAAGGCCCCCATCATTTCCCAGATGGGCGTCGGGCCGAAATGGGACCACTTGCAGACGCTGGACCGGGGCCCGTGTCCCTCCTGCTTCCTAGCACCACGTCTGCTGCGGCCAGCGCGCCTGACGTGGCGGCTCCGGTCCACGTCACACAGGGTGGCTGCCTCGGGTGCCGGCTGCTCTGCCGCCGCAGGCCTCCTTCGGCCCCCCTCAAACAGGTCGGGCAAACGCCATTCAGAGCAGGGGCACTAGCGCAAACGGCCGACCTTCACGCCAGGCCGCTCTCACCCGGGGTCCTTCGCGGAGGCCGCTCCCGGGCCAGGAGGAGGCTTCCTGGCTTGAGACCCCGCCTCCCAGGCCCTCCCGCCCGCAAAGGCCTTCGACACACCTGCAGGGGCTCGGTCTCCGCTCCCGACCCGCGCCGAACCCAGACCCCGCCCTTTGCCGCCTAGCCGGGACTTGGAAGCCCCGGAGTCCTCACTCCCTGGGGCGTGAGACAAAAACGGCTACGCCAGAAAGAAGACGGCAGTGCACATGCGCAGAACGTTCTCCGAGCCCTACCCCAGAACTACGCTTCCCAGAAGGCCTGGCTGCGCCTCCATCTTGGATGACGTCCTGAGGCGCTACCTCCTCCAGTGGCCTGAGTGAATGCTGTCGGGTTTCCTGATGCCGACTGGTGCTGGCCTTGCTCAGTGATGGCCCTAGAGCCGCACCCCACATAGTGGGCCTTGAAGATAAGGTCACCGTGAGATGCTGCAAGGAACACTGATGGGCAGTTTCGTTAAAGTGATTGAACTCCGTGGCTACAGTAGTACATAGGATATGAGGGATAATGCCTAGCTTTCACAATTGTGCAAACGATACATGAAACGTAATAAACTGGAAAATATGTGTAAGCTAATACAGAGAACGAGTGCTACACATACCACTTCCCAAAACGAAAACGCTTAATGTTAGGTGTACATCCTTCTCATAAATGTACACAGATTTTATCCTAATGGTATAGAATTATATGAAATAAGTAAGCTCTACATTTGCCACAGTTTACTGCCTTAAAAGAGTCTGCAGACTGTGGCACAAGGAGGGGGATCTCAGGCTGAGTGTCGTGGACTCCTTGAATTGGGGAGATGCAGCTGAGAGTCCAGAGAGACCAAGGCAGTTAAGAGTTTACAGGACAAGTTACTTAGGAAGAGAGCCGCACAGAGAGAGAGCTCTGGTGATCTTCAGGAGGTCCTCCTTGATAACTCAGCAGAGTGCTGTCTGGACCATGTGTATGAGGAAACCACCTGAGGTTGGGGAAAGAATCATCCAAAAAGATTAAGGGAATAGAGCCCAGTGATGCTGGGGAAAGTGCCTGCTGTCACTGGCCAGGGTGAAAAACTCATGATTCATGAGCATTGGATAGAGTACTCAGAATGGTCTTGTCTTGACAATGAAGAATAATTAGCTCTAGAATAAACACTACAAATGTTGAAAGTAAAATTCAACACTATTGATTAACTGCACCATAAAAGCACCATAAAATTTACAATATCTGCTAATCTCATTCAAAGATTAGCCGGCAGGCAGGGTGTGGTGGCTCATGCTTGTAATCCCAGCACTTTGGGAGGCTGAGGTGGGCGAACACCAGCCTGGCCAGCATGGTGAAACCCATCTATACTAAAAATACAAAAATTAGCTGAGTGTGGTGGTGGGCGCCTGTAGTCCCAGCTACTCGGGAGGCAGAAGCAGGAGAACTGCCTGAACCCAGGAGGTGGACATTGCAGTGAGTTGAGATCATGCCATTGCACTCCAGTCTGGGCAACACAGTGAGACTCTGTCTCAAAATAAATAAATAAATAAATAAATAAGATCAGCAGGTTTGCAAAGAAACACGAAAATAACAACTCACTATGAGGAGAAAAATGAACTATGCAAAACTGACCCAGAACTTATACAGATGTCTGACTTACCAAATAAGGACATTAAAAAGTTTCCATAATTGTGTCTAGATGTTCAGAGACAAGCAGAGACATGGAAGATATTAAAAGATCAAACCAAACGTACAGATGGAACCTACAGTGTCTGTGATGAAAAATACACTGAATGGGATTAATAGCAAATTAGAAATGAAATAAAAGATTGGTAGATTTGAAGATAGCAGCAGAAACTTCAAAATGAAACCATAAGAAAATATAAAAAATGAGAAAGAAGCATCAGTGAGCTGTGTAACAACTTCAAGCTGTCTAACATATATGTAATTGAAATCCACAAGGAGAAGCGAGTGGAGAAGAGAAAGGTAAAATTTTTATTTGAAACATTAATGGCCAGAAATTTTATGCATTTTATGAAAACCATATTTCAGAGAACCAGCAAGCTTGATAAACCACAATCTGCAATTATAGTTTGAGATCTCATACTCCTTCTCAATATTTGGTGGAATAGAAAATCAAAAAGGATATCAAATACCTAAACAACACTATCAATCATGTTAGGTTATTGACCTAATATTTATAAAACATTCAATTTTCCAACAATAAAATATACATTCTTTTCAAGTGCACATGGAATATGCCAAAAGAGACTATAATTTGGTCCATCAAAGATGTCTTATAAATTTAAAAGAATTCAAGTCATTCAAAATACATTCTTTGGTTATAATGGAGTTAAATTATAAATAAATACCTAATTATATTTGGAAAATAATCAAATATTTGGAAACTAATACGAAACACATTTGTTTTTCTTCTTTCTTCTCCTCTTCTTCTTCCTTTTCTCCTCTCCATTCCCCACCTCTTCTTTCTTTTTCCTTTTCCTTCTCTTTATTATTCTTCCTTTTCTTTTTTGTTGCCTAGGCTCTGTGCAGTGGTGTGATCATAACTCACTGCAGCCTCCAAACCCTGGGATGAGGTGACCTTCCAGCCTCAGCCTCCCTAGTAGCTAAGACTATAAGCACGTGCCACCATGCCTCCAACTATTTTTTGTAGAGACCAAGTCTCACTGGGTTGCCCAGGCTGGTCTCAAACTCCTGGACTCAAGCAATTCTCCCACTTTGACCTCTCAAATGCTGGAATTAGAGGCATGACCCACTGCACCCAACCTAAATAACATAATTCTAAATAACCCATTGGTCAAATTGCAAATTAAAGAGAGGGGGAATTAGAAGGTAATTTGAATTGAATGAAAATAAAAGCACATCAAAATTTGTGGGATGCCATTAAAACTGCACTTAGAGGAAAATTTATAGCAGTAAACATTCAAAAAAAGAAGTCTCTAATGAATGACCTCAGCCTCCTACCTTAAGAAACTAGAAACATTTAAAAGCAAAAATAGCTAAAAGTAAGCAGGAGAAAGGAAATAATGAACAAAATGAAATTGACAAGCCTCCAGCCAGAGTAACTAGGAAAAGAGGGAAAAAACAAATGACTAATATCAGGAATAAGAGTGGTTACATCACTATAGATTGTACAGACATTAAAATGAAGCATGGGGCTGGGTGCTGTGGCTTACGCCTATTTGCATATTTTAAGTAAAATATGCAATTAGTGACTCCTGCTTGTAATCCCAGTACTTTGGGAGGTTGAGGTGGGTGGATCACCTGACATCAGGAGTTCAAGACTATTCTGGCCAACATGATGAAACCCCATCCCTACTAAAGATATAAAAATCTCTCCAAGATTGGGAACAAGGCTAGGGTTTTTACTCACATCACATCTATTCTACGTTGTTCTGGAGAATCTGCTAGTACATTCAGGTCATACAAAGAAATAAAGTAGTTGGCCTGGTACGGTGGCTCACACGAGTAATCCTAGCACATTGGGAGGCTGAGGTGGGCAGATCACCTGATTTCAGGAATTCGAGAGCAGCCCGGACAACATGGTGAAACCCTGTCTCTACTAAAAATAGAAAAATTAGCCTGATGTGGTGGTGCCCACCTGTAATCCCAGCTACTTGGGAGGCTGAGGCAGGAGAATCATTTGAATCTGGGAGGCGGAGGTTGCAGTGAGCCAAGATCATGCCACTGCACTCCAGCCTGGTCAACAGAAGGAGATTCTGTGTCAAAAATAAAAATAGGGGCCAGGCACAGTGACTCACACCTGTAATCCCAGAACTTTGGGAGGCCAGGGCGGGCAGATTATCTGAGGTCGGGAGTTCAAGACTAGCCTAACCAACATGGAGAAACCCTGCCTATACTAAAAATACAAGATTAGCCGGGCGTGGTGGCGTGTGCCTATAATCACATCTACTTTGGAGGCCGAGGCAGGAGAATCACTTGAATCTGGGAGGCAGGGGTTGTGGTGAGCCAAGATGCGCCATTGCATTCTTGCCTGGGTAGCAAGAGTGAAACTCCATCTCAAAATTAAATAAATAAATAAAGTAGTTGACTTCTGAAATGGCAGAATGATTTCCATGAACCTTCTCTCTAGTGAAACAACCTTACTTGGTGAATTTTCTTTTTTTGAGATGGAGTTTCGCTCTTGTTGCCCAGGTTAGAGTGCAATGGTGCGATCTCAGCTCACCACAACCTCCGTTTCCCAAGTTCAAGTGATTCTCCTGCCTCAGCCTCCCAAGTAGCTGGAATTACAGGCACATGACGCACGCCCAGGTATTTTTTTGTAGAGATGGGGTTTCTCCATGTTGGTCAGGCTGTTCTTGAACTCCTGACCTCATGATCCATCTGCCTCAGCCTTCCAAAGTACTGGGATTACAGGTGTGAGCCACTGTGCCTGGCCTGTTTATTTTGAGACGGAATTTTGCTCTTGTTGCCCAGGCTGGAGTGCAGTGGCCTGGTCTTGGCTCACTGCAACCTCTCCCTCCCTCCTGGGTTCAAGAGATTCTCCTCCCTCGGCCTCCTAAGTAGCTAGGATTACAGGCATGCATCATTACACCCAGGCACCTAATTTTTTTTTTGAGACAGAGTCTTGCTCTGTCACCCAGGCTAGAATGCAGTGGCATGATCTTGGCTCACTGCAATCTCTGCCTCCTGGGTTCAAGCGATTCTCCTGCCTCAGCCTCCCGAGTAGCTGGGATTACAGGCACCTGCCACCTCACCCAGCTAATTTTTGTATTTTTAGTAGAGATAGCGTTTCACCATATTGGCCAGGCTGGTCTTAAACTCCTGACTTCGTGATCCACCCACCTTGGACTCCCAAAGTGCTGGGATTACAGGTGGGAGCCGCTGCATGTGGCCAAAAACATGTACTTTAAAAGAAACATTTGGGCCGGGGATGGTGGCTCATGCCTGTAATCCAGCACTTTGGGAGGCCAAGGTGGGCAGATCACCTGAGGTCAGGAGCTCAAGACCCCGTCTCTACTGAAAATACAAAAATTAGCCGGATGTGGTAGCAGATGCCTGTAATCCCAACTACTCAGGAGGCTGAGGCAGGAGAATCACTTGAACTTGGGAGGCAGAGTTTGCAGTGAGTCGAGATCACACCACTGCTCTCCAGGCTGGGTGACTGGGTGACAAGAATAAGACTCTGTCCCAAAAATAATAATAATTATAAATAAAAATAAAAGAAACATTTGAAGATACAAAGTACCATGTGGCATATATGTTATCTTCTCTTTCCTACTAT